TACCAAGGCCCCGTGTTTTCGTGCCGTTTCCCAGCGGCGGGTGGGATGCTCTATAATTTTCTTTCCCCCCTCCCTTTCCTTCCACTCGTTCCTTTCCCCTTCCCCTTAACCCCAAGCAGTAAGTCCAGACAACATCCCTGCTTTTGGCGGGGAGGTTTCCAGACCCGGGAAGCGCGTGGGGAGCCGGCGCGTGCGACGCGGCCCCTCGCTTTGTGCCTTGCAGATCGTGGACCTGCTGCTGACGCACGGCGCCGACGTGAACATGGCAGACAAGCAGGGCCGGACGCCGCTGATGATGGCCGCGTCCGAGGGGCACCTGGGCACCGTGGAGTTCCTGCTGGCGCAAGGTGAGCGCGTGCGGCCCCACCGCGCGGCTCCCGGCCACAGGGAGTTTGACAGGGTGAGCCCACACGGGGCAGCTCCTCAGCAGGTTTCCCAGCACCTCATCCAGCTTTTGGAAGGACCAGAGTGGAATTCTTGGAGCATTAATCTTGGCTGTTGGTCTCCTTAGTGCTGGGTGCTCGCGATAGTGTATGGTGTTGAGGTAAGGACATGCACCTCATCCAGCTTTTGGAAGGACCAGACTGGAATTCTTGGAGCATTAGTCTTGGCCGTTCATCTCCTTAGTGCTGGGTGCTCGCAAAACCAAGCGATAGGGTATGGTGTTGAGGTAAGGACATGTCTTGAACCCAGCTTGAAGCCTTCCACTTTGACAGCATCAGCACAAGCGGAAACTGCCTGTCCTGGAGCCACAGGCCAGCAGGATCCTTGCTCTGTGCTGTAACTTCCATGGGGATGTGGGCAAGGATTGGTGTGATCAGGAGCTTTTCATGAATTAATTCTTTTCTGAAGGTAAGTTTTTGCTGAAATGTGAGTCTCCGCCTCTCTCTGTGTGTTCAAGCTGCAGCATGGCTGCTTTAGCAGCTTGAATCTCTGTAAAAGGCTTAAATTATGTGATTTTTTGCCAGGCTTGAGAACTGTGCATGTTGCTCAAGTCTGAGTCATGGAGGAGGAAAATAGCAGCTAATCTGACCCTGGCTGTGGGGTAACCAGCAAATGTGCATGATGTGTTCCTGCTTTTTGGGGCATGGAGAGCCCAAGAGGTCAAAAATACGAAAATCAGCTTTCATAAGAGAAACTTTAAAAGGCTCATTCTTCTAAATAAGCTTAATAAGTTCCACTCTAAATATGCTATAAAGTTAGCTCACGCCTGGGCAGAGTACAGTGATATATGGTGTGTTTTAATTAAAATGGCTTTGACAATCCTGTTCAACGTTTCATTAAAATCAAAATGTGAATCATAAGCCATAAGCATTAATTACCGTGTTGCAAAGCAAATCTTCTTTGACTGCACTTGATTAACACAGCGTTTGTAAACACTTTTTATTAACTGAGTTGCAGTCATCAATCAATTAGAAATCCAAATTTCTAGAGTTACTTCCCGCTATCACCAATACCCAGCAGTAATTTACGTGTGCCCAGTGAATTAAACTTCTTTGCTTGCAAATAAGTTAAATTTGAGATTCTGATGAGTCTGTGTTACACAAAGGAAAATAATTCTTGGTGATCATGCAGTTTTGAGAGACCTTGGTTCTGAATCTTGTTTTTCTGCAGAAACAATCCACCCCCCTGCAGTTTTTGTTTTCAGATCATGGCCACTTTCTGTTTCTGTCTGACGCTCCAGCAGCATCAAAGGAGTTTCCTTTTTCCTAGCTGGTTCCTGCTGGCGTCAATGAGAGAATCCTGCCTTTAATGGGGTAGTCTGGGGGGTTCTGCCCTCTTCAGAAGTTCTGTGGCCTCAGCCAGGTGAAACCTTCCCCCCTGCAGCGGGGACCTGTCCCATGACATCGGCTCGAGCCACGCTGCCCTCCCAACCCGTCACTTTGTGGCTGCCTCGACGCTGGGCAGGTCATTGCTACCTGCAGGGACAGGGACAGGGACAGGGACAAGCGCCAAGCGGAGCCCAGCCCTGCTCTGCAGCAACCCTTGGAACGACGGTTTGGAAGCGGTTGGCACCATCCGGGCACCTAGATCTTCCTCTTGCCTTGCTTCATGGATACCCTGGAGTTTTCCCATGCCAGTCTCGAGGCCAGCACGTCCCTCCCATTGGATAGGGAAGAGTGGGAGGTTGAGGAACGCTGTGTAGGAACCCTTCTTTGATGGGAGCTTTTCCTAGAAAAGCTCCAGAAGAGTCAGGGAGAGAAAACAAGAGACAACTTGGATTCCGAGCAAGCAGCCAGCACAAATGAGAAAGGAATGGGTCTTCCCTTGCTTGATGGAGCAAGGTCTTGGGTAGTGGAGTAGCACCTGGTGGCTTTTGCAGAGCTTCGGAAGGGCTCCGGGGCCATGGCCTTCGTCCCTGCCTTACGCCGGCTGCAATGGGGTTTGATAAGAATCAGTTAAAAAGAAGGTTGATTTCAGATGAAGGATGTCAAATCCGCCCTGCTGCTCGGATGATGTTTGCCAGAAAAGCCTACAGCTCCTAAGTGCGAAGAGTTTGCAGCGGGGTGTGAATAAGCTCCTTGGCCGCAGTTTCCAGCAGTGGATGTGAAGCTGCCATGGAGGGTGGGACCCATGGTGGGAGAATTGTTAACAGAGTGATTAATCATTCCACGCAGAGCGAGCTCTCTAAAAATAAGTTGCTGTCCATGTCCAAGCTGTTGGCTTGCTGTGCCCGGCCCTCGGCGCGGTGCAACGGGAGCTCTGAAGGAACCTGCTTGTTCTTCCAGGTGCCTCCATTTCCCTGATGGACAAGGAGGGGCTGACGGCCCTGAGCTGGGCCTGCCTCAAGGGCCACCTCGCGGTGGTGCGGTCCTTGGTGGAGAACGGAGCGGCCACGGACCACGCCGACAAGAACGGCCGGACCCCGCTGGACCTGGCGGCGTTCTACGGCGACGCAGAGGTGGTGAGTGGCCTGGGGGACCATCCTGAAGGCATCTGCCAGATCCCTAAGACCTGTTGCAACCCCAGGGAGAGGATGCCCTAGACCTTCATGAGCGCACGTGCTTTCACAGAGGGCAGCAGCAGAGAGCAGCGTAACCTGCAGCCCTGTCGTGATGGTCTCAGCACAACCAGGGCGTCTGCAGAAGCTCGTGCTAGCAGAGCTGACCCGTGTTGTTCTCCTCGCAGGTGCAGTTCCTGGTGGACCACGGGGCCATGATCGAGCACGTCGACTACAGCGGGATGCGCCCCCTCGACCGTGCCGTGGGGTGCCGCAACACCTCCGTCGTCGTCACCCTGCTGAAGAAAGGAGCAAAGATAGGTAGGGAGCAGGGGAGGCTGCTCCGGCGCCCCGGACGAGGCAGG